GTATGGCAGCTAGTGTAGAACCCAGGCGGACTACTTAAATTAGGTACTAAAAGTACACGTGTGGCTAGTTGTATCCTCGTAAAATTGATGTAATATCGTAATTACCTGAATAAAGCTAAGTGCCAGGGACCTAAGTGGTCACCTTAATATTAAAAAAAAAAATAATAATAATAATGTATTGTCATAGACTTTTTTTTTTGTTTTTTTTAATCAAGTTTTTATTATCTTCTAGTCTTTTGTTTTTTTTAGTTTAGTTTAGTTTTATATTAGACTAACCTTCTTGTTTATGTTTATTATATGATTTTTTTTTTTTTGTTTATCTTACTCTTTTTTTCTTCTATTTCTTTTGTTTTTTCTTTTTTCGTGTCTTTGTTTTCTTGATATGTTTCTTTTTTTTTTAAATCCTTCTTCTTTATTATCCTTATTATATTTCTTGTTAGTTAAAGAAATACAAAGAAGAAAAAAAGCTATTATAGTGTGGCAATTAGGCTAGTTTAATATAAGCCTCTAATCTTAAACTTTAGATTAGTATAGTGAGTTGCACTTGAGTACCTTTAGGGCAGCCAGATGATATTAGGTTTGCAAATTAGAAGTAAACAGGTATACTTATTCAATATTTTGTATATTGATATTATATTTAGAATTTTAATAAAACACTGGCAAAACTGCCTAAGTTTAAAAAAAAAAAAAAAAAAGATAGATTTATGTATTTCAATTAATTTTAAATAATTTGTAATGATTATATAAATAAAGTTGTGATATGACTGCTAAATTATAAAAAGTATATATATATATTAGATTTAATTAATAAATGATTAGATTTTTACTAGCAAGTAATTAGATAAGTTAGGTAAATAGCATTTAAAATAGAGTAATTAGTGAGTTGGTTAAATAATTAAATAATTAGTAGATAGCTAAGTTGGATAATTGAAATAAATTAGCAAATAAAAGAGTAATTAGAAAGTAGATTGGGTAATTAATATATAAGTATATAGTTAAGTTAAACAATTATCAAATGGTTTGATTGAGTAATTAATAGAATCATGAATTGCAACGGGTTTTTGAATTATTTAAGGTTATGAATTATATTTTATATATAAAAAAACCTTCACATATACAAATCAGATTTTTTACTGATTAAAATACGTCATATTTACTTAGCAGTTAGTACTGTGGTAAATGTAGATTATTTTTTCTTGTTGATTTACGGATCATCAATTACAGAATTAAATTAATTAGTTAAGTTGAAAAGAATCTTCAGCTTAAATTTATATTATAATTTTTATTATAAACAAACAATATTTAAACTTTTTTAAAGAAAACATGTTTTGTGCCTAATACAGTATTAATACTGTAAAAATTACAGAATAATTGTTCGATAGAAATTATTATTTTTATAAATACAAATTAAAACAAACTAATAAATTAAATTTGTTCGCGCCTATATATAATTGTTAATAATATATATATTATCATAAAAAATTTTATTTAAAAGGTTATTAACATACAAATATACAAATATATATATATAAATTTTTCTACATGTAAAAGCAATATATGACATTAAAATTTCTAAAAACATGAATTGTATATATAATTATGTAAAAAAATAATAATAAAAATAATAATAATGAGGTGCATATGAAAATATAATGGAGGATATGAAATAGAATTAGAAGAAATTACAAATTATTACATGTTAAAGTTATCTACATAACAAGCTTATAAATTCTAAAAACTGCAAGTTCGAAAAACGCATTTAATAATTTAAAGTCAAATTTTTTATAGATAATCTAAATCTATGAATCATTCAAATGAATTCTAGGAAGCGGTTCATACCGCAAATATAGTTCCTCCTTGAAATGACGATGCCTATAATGTATTATTAATTAATAAGTATTTAAAAATTATATATTATGAACCAGAAGGAATGCCACTTACTTAATGCCTCTCGGTCTTCTTGCCTCTTCAAAATAACGAATCGCATCAGCTACAGAGATGTGCAATTCTTCGATCATGTAGCAACAGATCATAAACCCTGTCCGATTAAACCTAAATTGAAATAAAAGAAAAATAAGAAATCGCATAAATTGTATAGATAATTAATTTCAACATGCATGCATGTAAGAGGAAAAGCTTCATCCAATAATTAACGAGTTCAGCTTACCCATAATGGCAATGAACAGCGATTTGCTTATCAGGTTTTTTTCTCCATGCTTCTTTGGCGATTTGAATAAATGCTCGTACTTCTTCACGTGATGGTGGGATTTTACTTGCCGTACTGAGTTTATTATATTTAATATGTGAATTATCAAAATCAGATGTTCTATAAGATGGGGGATCTTTTGTTATATCAATTATGCTATATAATAGATTAAAATAAATTCATTAGTTTACAAAGTAACATTATATAACATTATAAAACGCGCGCTTAAAAAAATTTGACCTACAATCCTATTTCTGGATGCCGCGCAATAAATATTTCCGGAGAATGTTCTTCATCAGTTTGTCGCATAACCTTGAAAAAAATAACAAATAAAATATTAGAAGTATAATAAATTTAATTATAATAATTCAATATAACGACAAACCTTCATTGGCCTAAATAATGTACTTTTGACGGTTCGGTCGGCTATTGTTGGTGTTTGTTTCCACTATAATTAAATGCCACATGAGTGCGACGAGAGTATTTTTGGTCACGAGATTATCTTAAAATTATAAAACAATATTTGATGACTTAAAAAAAAGAAAAATCAAAACTGAAAAAAATTCACGCGTCGAACCCAAAAATTCCATCATAGGGAGAGCCTTGCACGTTCTGAGAAATACAAGGAAAATGGACCCAACGCGGCTGACAGCATGAATTTATTTTTCAGCTGCACACCTTTTGAAAATTCTTCAAAGACCACTTATTCTCATCTTTTGTCTTGTAAACGATTTGCCATGCAGGATCAACTGTATTCAATCTACATGTCTTGATAAGAAAGTCATTGATTATCAAGTTAACCAAATCAGGTTTCTCCACCATTGGATTATGCCCTGCTCGTGGGATCATCACTGGATCAGGCGTATTTGGCGAAGTACACCATTCGTGAACAAGGATCGTGTCACTCTGAGGGCTAATTCGGTCCTAACAAAAAAGAAAATTATGTAAATATAATTATATATAAGATATTTCACCTTAAGGACTACGATTATAAACACGACCACTTACTTCTTGACCTGATAGGAGCAACAATGGGCATTGAATGTTGTAAATGTCATCACGAGTTATCCATTTAAAACCATTGAGCATTCGTTTCCATACAAAGGTTTTTGATTGTTTATTCCATTTTAGTTGCTTTGTTCGTAATCCAACACTCGCATCTTTATGCAACATACGATCAACACTAGAAGAATTGATTCCACCGCGACGATCAAATAAGACGCGGAAAACATCAAAAAATATATCAGGGCAGGATTGAATGGTTTTTCGTTGTGACAATTCTTTTTCACTTATTTCGGCTTTAACCGAAATGAAAGTCATAGCTTTAACAGCACTTTTGAACCGCTGGTACAAGAACGTACCTAGGCAACAACCATATGAATGACAGATGAATACCATAGTTTCACTGGGATAAAGTTTCAAAAGTTCTTCCAAATCATCGACTAAAGATTCGGTTTTGTAATCATCTGATCTTTTTATATGCAACATACGATTATCACTATTAATTCTTATTAGAATCAATACTACTAATTTTTTTATAATTTACCTTTTTGACATATCACTTTTTCCACATCCTAACAAATCAATAGCTAGTACATTTGCAGTGGAAGAAAAATATTCCAATTGATATTCCCACTGTGCAACCTTTATTCACCCCAACCCACCATTTATTATGATAATTATTTTTATTATTTTTGAAGAAAATTTAAATAATTTGTCTTTATAACATACAAAAGAATTCGGTGGTGGGATCATTATCTGTATATGCTACTGATCGAACCTGTACTGACCTATCATCAGAAGAATCTATTACTGCATTATGAGACGGGTTTGTCTTAATATAATGTGTGTTAGAGTCTGTCATTATTACAACGTGTAAATTTAAAATTCATGGGTTAATCTATAATCTACTCCGCACGCGATACCGATGTCTTTTTTTTTTTGCTGATCGATTGGGCCAGTGCGTTAAAATAAATTGTTTGGGTCCCCAAAACCGGATCAGTAAATGTCATTTTCCTTTTGTGGAAAGATACCAGCCAATAATTAATTAGAATTCAGCACACGACAGCTACTGGAACCTATAAAACTAAGAATTTTTCGCAGGTGTAAAATTTATTGGATTTTCCCAAACTATTTTTGAAGACCGCATTTAAAATTAAAAAATACACGTTGGCCTTATTAGTCTGTTTTCTCTACTATATAAGAGTAGCAAAAAGCTCTTAATTTTAGAAATATTTTTGCTTACTTTAACAGACTTGTTAAAAGTAAAAAACAAACACGCCAGCGGCGCGTAGTTTTTGAACGTCTTTTGAATCTGTCCATGCATTCAGCTGCTATTGTTAACTTTTGGTTAAAGTCTTGGCCAACGTCTTGGCCGTCCAGTTTTCCCATTCCTATTCCTACTCAACCCTTGACAATAATCATTCCAGTAATTGTTACTGTGTGCGGCTTATTCTTGACACCTTACCTCTTGAGGAATAAAGTTTTAGACGGTATATTAATGCACAGACTTCAATGGCTCGAATACTTGCATTCGTCATATATTTACTTATAAACTAAATTTATATATGAATATATTTTTATTTACTTATTTATTTTTTTACTCTATTTTTTTTTTTT